CTTGAGGGTCACAGACGTGTATTGGGGTGTGGCAGCGCTGGAGGGGGTCCCCCTATAGAGTGGGGGGCCTGGGAGGGTCCCCCTGGGGGTGGTGTCCCTGTGAGGGCGTGCTGGGGTGTCAAGGAGGGGGGTCCTTAACAAACTGAGGGGTGCCGGGGTCAGGAAGGGGACCCCCATCCTGGGTGAAGGTCCCCTTGAGGGGGACCTCGTTTGGGGGGTCTTGAGGAAGAGGGTGGGGGGATGGGGGAGGCGTGTCTGAGTGTGAGGTCCCACAGGGGTCCCCCATAAGATTAGGAGCGTGAAGGTGTCAGGATGGAGGCCCCAGGGTGGGGGTCCTGGTGGAGTGGTCCTGAGGGCTGGGTCCAGGTGTGGGGATCCCAGGGGTGTCCCCCTCAGACATCGCCCCCAAGATGCCCCACAGGCGCCAGGCCAGCGGCAAGTCCTTGGGGAACGAGGTGATGTGGCAGGCGTGCAGCAAGCACAGATACATGTCCTCCAGCAGCCACACCGTCACCTGCACCCCAAAACCACCCTACAGCCTCCTGCAGGGGCAGCAACCCTGTAAAATACACCCCCAGGGGACAACATCCCTCCAGACCCAACCACAGTGGACTCAAAACCCTGCTCTCCTAAAAGTGGAGAGGGGGCCCCAACAGCCAGTAACCCTCTCCCCACACCTTGACAGCCCCCCCTGGAGAAAAGTGACCCCTCAGCACCCTCAGGTCTCTCAGAAACTCCTCTAACACCCATGGGAACCCCCTCTCACAGCACCCATAACACTTCTCCAGCCCCCCTGGAGTCCTCCCCCATCCATGGACATCCTCCTGGACTCCCCCATTCAGGTCCCATAAGACCCCCAAAATTCTCAGCCCCCATGGCCCCCCCTCAGCCCCAATGGCCCCACCCTTAGCAACCATAGAGACCCTCCTAGAAGTCCCCAGCCCCACAGAGACACCCCCAGCACCCATAGGACCCCCACACACACACATTTATGAGATACCCCTCAGCACTCCTGGGACCTTTTCCACCCCCTAAGCCCCCACAGTACCTATAGGATTCCCCCCAGCCCTCTGGGACACACCCCCCAGCACCCACAGCTCCCTGTCAAACACCCACCCAAGGTGGGGGGACACAAGGACGTCAGGAGGGACACAGGGCCATCGAGCGATACACAAGGACATCGGAGGAGGACAAGGCCACCACGTCACAGGGAGGGGGTGAGGGGACAACAAGGACATGTGGTAGCTGGCGCAGCATGGAGGGGAAGACCTTTGGGGAGGGGGGTGGTGCCCCGGGGTTTCCAAGGAATATTTGAGGGGTCCCAGGGTGGATTTGGGATGTCCCAGGGGCTTCCCAGCAGCTGTCTGGGGGTCCCAGGCTGGATTTGGGGAATCTGGAGGGAGAGTGTGGAGTCCCAGGGGGGTCCTGGGGGGTGTTTGGGGCGTCCCAGAGTGGATTTTGAGGGATCTGAAGAGGGATGGAGGGTCCCAGGGTGGATTTAAGGGGTCTGTAGGGGGTCAGGGGGCCCCAGCAGGTGTCTGGGGGGGGAGGGTGAGGGTCCTAGATCAGATTTCGGGAGTACCAGAGATGTCTCAGGGGGTAGGGGATGTTTGGGGAGGGTCTCATGGCGGCTCTGGGGGTCAGGATGTCCTGAGGTGGATTTGGAGAGTCCCAGGTGGTGTTTGGGGAGGGGGTAATGCTGGAGGGTCCCAGAGTAGATTTGCGGGGTCCGGGGGAGCTTGAAGGGTCCCAGGGGTTGTTTGGGAGGGCCCCAGGGGTTGATATGAGGGATGCAGTAGATTTGGGTAGTCTGAGGGAGTGAAGTGTCCCAGAGGATGTTTGACAGGGGGTCCTGCGAGGGGTGGGGGTGTCCAGGGTTAATTGGGGCCTGATTGGATTTGGGGGACCCAGGGGGTGCCAGGGGAGCGTGGAGGGTCCTGGGAAGTGTTGGGGATCCTGGGGTGGATTTG